CTTCAAATTCACTTTATTTTTAATTTATTTAAAAAGAAGATTAAAATTAATTTTTATAAATCAAGGTAAATTTTCGTGATAAATAGTATGAATGAATAGTTAACATAATAGAAACTAAAAATAGATAATTGGAATGAAGAATGCTTTAATAGAGGGGTCAGGCATGATTGTGTGTCAAAAAGAAGAAATATAATTGTTTTGATGACAATAATTTCGCAATAAGCGACTATGAGAAAGAAAAAGAATGGATTTTTCTGATGAAAAATTAAAAACAGGAGATATTTCCAAAGTTATAAGTTTATTATTTCAATTTCTAATAGAAACAATTTAGAGACCTCTATTATTTATTGAGCATCTCATTTATTAAAGATACAAGTTTTAACCATTTAAAAACTAAAATTTCATGTAGACTACTCCATGAGATACTTTCTCATTCAATTAAGCTAGATTAAATCTTTATTCCAATCATCACTTTTTTCCAAATGGATATTCTTGTTTTACTCAACACTCCATTAATTACCAAAGGCTTTGGAAAATTTTAAATTTCAATTAACTTATTCTAGAAGTATAACGTTAGATCCAAATTTATAAGCTTTTTTCAAAGAAGCTAGTGATTAAATGTTTAAAGTAACAAAAATTATATTATCATTCAATTTCATCAAGAGAATAAGTTTTTATATTTTAATTTCAAAAAGGGGTAGTGTACAATTAAGATTTTTTGCTTGATAATATACTAGTCTACCAGCTGCTTTCCGCTCAAATATCAACTCCTTGATACTATCATCATTTTCCATATTTATTCTTCTAATATTTCTGATATAACTTGTATCTTCTTAATGAATGAGTAGAATTCTTTATTATTAAACTTAATTATTTAAATCTTTTCTCAACCAATATTTAAAAATTTTTAATTTTCTCTCTTAACTAAATACATTAGAGATTTTTTAGATTTATTTGATCTTTTAAACGATTTCTGTTTATTCTAAGAACTTTATATCCATTAAATAAATCTAGAGACTACAATTATTGTGGGTCCTTTCATCTTATATTGGATATTTTTCTAAAAACAAATTTCCATTAATGGTCAGTCATTAACTAAATCAGTAGTCATCATGCAAATATATTAATAAGAACCATTAAATTCTATTGAAAATAAAAATTTCTTTTTACATTTTTTAAATAATTTATGTCTTTTGCATACACATTAAAATCAAAATCATAAATTCTAACACCGTTTAATTCTTCAAATGGTATAAATTAGATAATAATGGCAAAGCACCAATCACTACTTTTGGAACAAGACCTTGCCCACAAGCAAGACAGCATAAACAAGGGTAAAAACTTATATATAATTTTTTTTTCAAAAATAAACAGATGCAAAGCCATTTAAGATTCTTAAAAAGAATTAGTATTGTGTTATGAAAAAAACAAAATAATCTTATTGGAAAAGGAATTTTTAGAAGATTTACTTATTCTTTGTCAATCTACACTCTACTATGAACTCTACAGTTGAATATAAAGCAACCTTGTCTATCTTTAATTTTTCTGATATCATAATTGTTTGATGGAATAATTTTTTGAATTTACAAAAATCCTAACAATAATATGATATTATCGGTAAGGATGATACTTCAATAAATGCAGATGGTTCTAGTTAGACTATTATTATGATAAAGAAATATACAATAGAAATGCAAAATTTGGAATTGCTATTGAAGCATCTAAAACTTTATTATTCTCTCCAAAGTCCAAATAATATAATAATATAAATCAAAACAATGTAAAATAGAAAAGATTTATTATGAAAATGATTAATGTATCTGAATAAGATATTTTACTATAGAAGATCCTATTATTATTAGCTCATTTTATTCAGCGATTTCAGTAGATTTGTACGCAAAGAATTAATGCCGTTCAAATATGCTTCGTGTTTTAATTGGGCTGTACTGAACACATTAATGTTTTGATAAGAGAACTTGGGTTTATCAAAAAGAAAAGGTAGGATAACTGATTTAACAATGGTTACTATATTTCTGAAGGAATAACCAGAATTAAATAGTCAATGTGAAATTTGGTTACCCAAAATACTTAATGTCTATTATCCTATTTTTTAGAGGAAGTTTTAATTTCAGAATGGAGTACAAAATGGATCTTTCTTACACCCTTTTTGTTTGACATATTGTTTGATTAATTAATATATGATTTGGAAGGGAGATTAAGAATAAAGATGTTTTGTAGGAGAAAGAGGAGAATAATTTATAAAGAAGAAAACACTATAATTGACAAGAATAGACAAAATTATTAAAAAATCTAATTTGATTTCCAATATTAAATTAATAACAGAAATAAGGCTTTTAAGTAATGTAAAGGAAAAAGAAATTCAAAGTATTTTATTTACTTATATAATTAACTATAAAAGTTTAATAAGTATCTGCCTAGTATTATGAAATGAACATCCAATAACTTCACTTTGAATTTTAATAATATAACAGTTCAAATTTCTAAAATCTAATCCACTTCTTTTATCTGTACATTTGAATAAGTGGCTGCTTTTAATTGAATTTTTCAGTGGACTTGCTATTATTTAATAATAAAAGCTATGTAGATTCATATTAAAAAAAGTACTAAGAATCCTGATGTGATTTAAATTGAAAATGGATTTGCTATTATTGCTAAAAGTGTATCTACATTAAATGATAAAGTAAGAACAATCTAATTGTAATTATTTAGATTTGGATGGTTCAACTAAATCACAACCTATTATTGTCTATTCTATTTCTAATTTATTTAATCTAATATAATTTATTACATTATATCCACATCATCCTTAATTAATAAGCTAACCATAAGGATATTTCATAGCATCATGGATAGAAAGTTCTCTAGCATCATAAAACTTAAGTGATGATGTCTATATGAAAAGATTTAAGAGTGAAGGTACCTAATTGTCATTAAATACAATCATTTGCCCTAACAATTGCTTGACTTGCTCAACTAGTAATGTTTGCTAATCTTGTAAGCAAAATTGCATCATATTATCTAATTAATGTTATCCAAAAATTAATAATTGTGAAACTCATGTAATTGAAAATTAAATACTCTCTTGTAACTTATGTATTAATGGTTTTGATTTGATAAAAAATAGTTGCTATTAAATGTATTTTCCTACTAATTATTAACAATATAATTTATAATTGATAAATCATATTTTGATATATTTAAAGTATAAACTTTTTCAAATGGTGATCTATTATATTTTTGGACAGGAGAGGATAACATAATGACTCAAAGATTAGATAAATAAGGTAAACGATATTCAAATCCTAATGTATTAAAACCTTCAACATCTTGTACAAGTTGCTCATATGTCTTTGTTGTTTGATAATTATAATTAAATGAGGAAATATTTGTATAGATTAATTAAGTTCATTTCATTGTTTTATCCTTCAAGTTTTTAAACTATTATTACAGCTACACTTCAACTTAAATTAATATTTTCAATTTGAATGAGGAATTTCTCTCTTCCACTTCAATCTCCTCATATTAAGGAGACATTAACTCTAATCAATTTAAGGAATATTTAATTTAATATTTAAATATTGATACTAGAAATAATTTGTTAAAATTCTTTTATTGGAAAATATGAAATTAGGCTTAATTTAGATGGTTATGAAATAGGAAATCCCGATATTAGAATTAGTTATTATTCAGTTATATGTTGATAGTTCATTCAAAATTAATTTCTCAAATTAATAAACCTAAGAAATTTAATTACTAACTTATTCTTAATTTAAGAACTCTTTAGATTTCGACATATAAATAATTGATAATGAAATAAAACTCTATTAGAAAAATAAATTATCTAATACTTATATAAAGACTAGTTTTGATTTATTCGGAGTATAACTAAATAAACATATGATAAAGAAACTAAATAATATGGTAGAATACAAAATGATTAAATTGAATTCAGACAGCTATTTGATTGTTTGGGCAGCCATTGAATCATTTTAATATGAAATATTTTTTTAGATTTAATAATAAGATGGTATTGCATTAACAAATGCTGAATAAATATTAAGTGGAAGTGAAATCTATAAACTTGATTTATAAATAAATTTACTTTCAAATTCCATATTGATAACTTGGAGAGAAGGTTCACAATTTTCAGATATGAGTTTGAATTCTGCTTATAAAAGAATATTGCTATCTAAAGAATCTTATAATTTGAAGAATAGTGTCTTTCAAATTAATTAAGAGAATACTTATACGAAATCATTAGGAAAAGTTGAAGTAGTAGAATTACCAAATCAAGATATAATATAATAAAAAATATTTAATATAATGTTTTACAACATTTTGTCTGAAACCTAAATGATCAACTCATACAAAATTAATGAAACAGGCGGTAAGGTAGATTTAACTTAGACGAGGTGCAGGTATGCTTGCCAAGAATGTAATTATTAAGGATTCTATTTCGAATGTACAAATCCTGATCTATTTATATTATAAGTAGATGGAAATTGTGTAAAGAAACCTCAAAATTGTGTTAACTTCAAATCCAATTGTCTGGATTGTATTGATGGTTATTACAAAACTCAATATCTAACATGCGAGAAAATTTATTAATAAATTGTAAAAAACATTCCTTTGGATTATTAAAGCTACTATTAATTTTTCTATTAAGTTGCCACCTACTCAAATGGTAATTTTGTGGTTGTAGGTTTTTAAAGAGGATAATGTTATTGAACTAAATTATTTTCTAAGTGATGGAACTGTTTAGATAGAAAAACTCAAAATAATAAATCATGTAAATATTTATAAGATTAATGATATTTCAATAACTATTGATGATAAAGATTAAATTACAATATTTTATTCAGTATTACCCTTGGTTTATAACAAAAATATTATTATGAATAATTTGATAAAAACTTTAATAATCTTACAGAACAAACATTATTTTATTCTTTTTTGCAATAATATGAAACTATAACTATTAAAGCCAAGATTTTGATTGGTGGATTATTTGCAATATTAATTAAGAGTAGATTTGATATTTATGTTTAAATTATGAAATCTAATTTTGAATTTGTTGCTGATATAAAATAACCATTTAGTGAAAACTTTGACATAACATCCAATTAAGAATTAATTGCATTTGCTTATATAAAAGATACAATTACAATCATTAATTTCTTTGAATTAAAATTAAAAGTAATTTAACATCAAATTGTTAATGATGGAGGATTAATTAAATTGGCCTCTAATGTATTTAAATAATTTATTATAGTTACCAATCAATAATATAATCTTATAATACTACCCTACAAAAGCTTATACCAATACAAATAACCATAAGTGATATAAATGACATTATCATCCTTTCATACTAAAAGAATTCTAAATCTTATCATTTACTTTATTTTTCAATGTAAGGAAGACTTAAAAATTTTGTTTAAGTTAATATGAATTAGTATACTGAAATTCCTATTCAAAATAATTGGTTATTAAAGTTGTAAAATAATAATTTTATTGTGTTCTTTCACATAGGAAGTTTAACTATAATAGTAAATTAAATTTTGCAAGGTTTGATTAATTGGGAATTTCAAGATCTGTAAATGAAATTATATGCCCTCAAAATTGTATATCTTGTGTAACATCTTAAGAATGTGATATTTGTAGTTTTGGTTCCCAAAAAAATGAAGAAACTAAATTTTGTGAAATATTTTATGTTAACTGATTGCGATGTATGCTCAAATGGATTCTAATTGAATGAATTTAGAAATTGTGTAATAATTGATTAATCGATTGAACATCCTAAAGATCCATAAAATCCAAGTTATTAGGAAGAAGTGAAAGATCGAAATAGTCCAGGAGTCCCAACAGATCCAGTAGACCCTATTAATATAAAGGATCCAACTGATCCATCAGATCGAACCTCTCCTCAGAATCCAATCAATATAGGAACTATTATTGGAGATAAATGTAATGTAATTATGCAGAATAAACTAATAAATTTTGTTGATAATAGATATGTTTTCATTCAAATTTGCAATGAGATTATGAGTGCCAAATTATTTAATAAAGATGGTGTAGAGATATAGAGTTTTGTCATTTAAATTGAATTAGTTATATTCTACGATACAGTTTTAGTTCAAGATTAAATTTTTTTAGCATTTTTTTTTACAATAAATCCAACTTCTTCTCAAATTTTTTTAATTGATAATAGTTTCCAGAACCTTAATTTTAGATTTGAAGCAAATAATAGAATGATGGCACTTTTGTAGAAGTAGTTTGAGAAAAAATAAATCACAACTCACATACTCTCATTATTACTGTTGAATGCAAGGGTTAAAATAATGAACCAATAAAAGCTTGTTGTGGATTATACAATTTATATTTAGCAGTTCATTATTGTTAACCTAATTGTAACAAATGCACAGATCATTAAACTTGCTAAAAATAGAATAGTACAGATTATTCAACTAAAATTTAATTGTCTTAGGTTGATTTTAAACCTAATTAATATTTTAATGTTCATTAATCTTTATGTTATGATTGTCCTTCATCTTGCAAGAGCTGTACTTCAAGATTTGCAAGTTTGGAATGTAACGACTCATGACTGCATTAATTGAATATGTTATAATTATAGTTTAAATCATCAACTAACAATAATCTAATATGATCCTTTATTAGGAAATGAAATAGAAAATAATTTATAATTATGTAATTTGATAGGAGAATTATATCAATTAGTATAATTTTCCTTGTGATATAAATTGCTCTTCTTGTTTTTATTAAATTAATTACATTTGTAATGAAAATTATTTGCTTTCAATAGATTCTAGATAATGTATTTAAATCACTAAATTTTTGATTACTAATTTGAACATTGTTTAATTAATGTTAGTAGTTAATGCTTATAATGCCATAATTACGCTTATTATGACAACATAGAATAAAAATGCAAACCAAATCTTTAATATTTAAAGTAATGTTAATATTAGATGATTTAATCACCTAAATAATATTGTAGTTAATGCTTTGAAAATGGTTTTTGATGTTCATATGATGGTTATATTAAATGTAAAAAAGGATATTATTTTGATGATTAATTGAAATGCATTTCTAATTGTGGAGATGGAATTCTTACTGGTAATGAATAATGTGAAATGAATGATGAAAATTGCTTAAAAAATAATATTATCTCATATATTTTTTAATTGTAAATTTTAATGTCCAATAAATTGCTTAAAATGTTTATTTGGTTGATGTCTTGAATGCATTGAAGGATTTCAATGTAAGAAAATAGATGTTATCCGAAATGTAAAGACTAATTTATTAAATCTGATAAGATATGCGAGGACGATAATAATATTCAATTTGATAGATGCAATAAATGTTAATATAGTTTTCAAATAGAGTGTCTTGTATGTTAAAACACGAAATGAATATAATGTATATCTGGATGGAATTTGATAGAAGGGAAATTTTATTAGATTTGTGGTGATGGTTATGTAGCCATTGTGTCTGAAGAATAAATGATGATCCTTAACACTTAAATTGTAGGAAATGTCAACTTTTTATATGCTTTTTTGCAAGCTTTGTGATAATCAATAGAGGTTTTGTAAATGTTTTTTATCTCTTTAATTAGAATGGAGATAATATTTGATCATGATTTATTGAAATATCAATAATTTTAACAAAAACTACTATAATAATGTTAAATATGTGAGGACACATTTAATCTAGTTAATAATACATGCATAAATATTAGTGGCGATGGAAATAAAGATAAGGATTTGAAGAATGCGATGATGGAAATGAAATTGAGTTTGATGAATGCTAAGATTGTAAATACAATTTAATTAATAGTTTAATTTGTAATTACTATTTATAAAATAGTAAAATATAAGTAAGGTATATATTATATTGTTTCAAATTATGATGAAAAAGAATCCAAAAAAAAAAGGTATCAAAATATCTTAAATTTTAAGTTAATTGCTTGAATAATTGCGCAAAAAGAATTATTTGATCAATCTGTATTCACGTATTAAAGGATGTTTGGTTTGTTAAGAAAATAATATTTGTTTATAATGTAACAATGAAGAACAATTTATTCTTGATAATGAAACTCATAATTGCATTACTTAAAACTATTAAGAGGAGGAAGTTCAATTAATAAATAGTTAAGATCATAAAAATTCAGAGGAAATTCAAATTAGTAACAGTGAAGATACCAACAACCACAATAATGATGAGGATGTTCAAATTTTATAAAGTGATTACTAATTATTTGAATTGAATTGTGGTTATGGTAAACTTTAAACTACTTAGAATGAAGAATGTGCTGATGACAACTTATTTGGAGGGAATGGATGTTCAGAATCATGTTTCAATGAGCCTTCTTTTAAGTGTTAAAATCTTGAAAACCAAAAAGGTGAATGTACATACATAAAAGCTCCTGATTTTAACTTAAATGTAATCCATAATTCATAGAATTCACTTTAAATTATTGATCTAACTTTTTCTCAGCAAGTTCAATTAAATTATCATAACACAATTGAATCTATTGCTGACTTTTAGATACAACCAAAAACTAAATATCAATTAACAAATTATTCTCTTTTAAATTTGACTAGTGATTTTCAGATGTCTCATTATCAATTTTATATTTAGTTTAAATAAAGTGTAGACCATCCTATTTTTTAATTAAGGTTTATGGACAAATCAATAATTAATTCTGAAAATATTCCTCTCAAAAGTGTTTAGAAAAGTATTTAAATAGGAAATCCTTTTGTTTAATCAAATTCCACAAAAAGAAAATTAACATAGACCGTATAGATGAATGATGTAATTATATATATAATGATAAGCATTTCTGCATTATTATTTTTAATTGGAAATCCAGAAATGTTCTTTAATCTATTAAATTTACTATAATCATTCTCTTACATTCAATATGTACAATATCAATTCTCACCTCATTTATCACAATTTCTTGAAACTTACTCTAAAATCTCATTAAAATTAGCATTAGATTACTTAAAAGCAGATTAATTTTTAGCCTAATTAAACAGTGGAATTTACCCTTAATCAAACAACACAACCTTATAAACAAACCAGATCAATTAGATAAGCCAAATATTTTTGGTGGATGCAAAAAGTTGTTATATTACAGTCTGAACATCATATCTTACTTATCTACTATCCAAACTAATAACATCAAAATAAATTGATTATTTACTTAATCAATTGACTTAATGAAAAAATCAAAATATCATATATATATTTCTTTTTTATCAGAGAGATATTTCCAGTTCCCTATCCTTGTTCCATCATCATATTCTCCTACTTCAAAAGCATTAGCTATATTATTAATAATGATTTGTACCTTGCATCCAATAATTTTAAATTAATTCTCGCCATCGGCCTTACTTTTTGCCTTCCTCTGAATGTGGTTTGATGAAAAATTGTGAATTTAACTATATTATCCACCTACATCTTTGATTGTTTCACTTTACCATGTGGCTATCCATTTGCCTATCTTATGATTATTTTCTCTAACTTATCCAAACCATTATAGATGTTTTATTTATTCTAAATTGGTTAGAATTTCAGGTTTTCTTGCAGTATATATTATTTAATCTCTAAATTATAGTTATTAACTCATACGTTCTTATGATTAACCCATCTCTTAGATATTAGATTTCGTTATTGTGAGTATATTAGATTTTGAAATTAGAATAGATAAATCTTCCATAATCCAAAATTAGACCATTGAATTCTTGGCTACCCTTTTGCAATATAACCTGTTCATCCTGTTATACCCTTTAGAAAATAAAAAATAATTTTCTTACTAAAATTATGAAAGTATCTCCTTCATTTTTTCTTTAAATTTAGAAAAAATTATTACTTCTTTTTCTAACCATCTTAGGTTTCTCCACTTTAGCCTTTATGGAATTCTTTTGATTATTCAATTTCTCAACAATTTTGCCTTCATACATTTACACAGGTTTTTCCAAGTCAAATAGATGATTCCGCCAAATTTTCATTATAGTTTATGAGATCGATGAATGATTAATTTTCTTTCTCAATCATCTCATAAATCTATTTGATTGAATGTGATAACTCTTCCAACATCTATTTCTACAATTTTTCAGTTTTACAATTATTTAAAACCTAGTCTTTATTTGTCTAAATCTGATGTATCATCCAGTTTTTATTCTCTCAATTTTTCAATAAAACTTTTTCATCAGAATGGTTTGCTTAACTTCAACTCCATGTTCTTATTGGCATTCAACGCACATTTTCCTTTTGAATTAACATTTATGAGGTGCTGCACATATTAAAGATACTTAAATTTTTGGATGAAATTTGCAATACATAATCTTATTTTAAAAAATAATAATTTCTATTACTTTATTCTTAGTATTATATAATGGATCGCAAAAGTATCTTTTTTATTTTTAGATAAAGTAGTAGTTAATGCTTTCTGGAGATTTGAAATTGATTGTTATTGAGCTGAAATTTACTATTAAGAATTTAATTCTACATTTGCATTTCTTGATTCTTTATGAAGATAGAATAACTATTTTGATATGAATAATTTATTTGTAAATAATAAGTTGATTTAAATTCTATTTATGATCATAAATTTTTTCTCATTAATCCAGCTAAATATTAAGAGAAAGGAGTTTTTCTGACCATATTTTGCTCAATCCTTAATATTTGTAATAATCATTATTGGAAATAAAGCAGCTTTAAATTTGCTATTGATTTTAGTATTAAAGTAATATCCATAATTTTTATTTTTATCGAAAAGGTAAATATCCTTTTTCCATAAATAATTTATTTCTCATTATTTATCTCCTGTGTGGATAGGGGGATCCCCAATATATCTGATAATTTTGAAATAGGGTTTATAGATGTTATAAACTAGGTTAGGGTGTGACTTTGCCTATTGAAGGGAATAAACTGAAAAAATAGTCTTATTTCTGTAATATCCAAATCTCATTATTTCCTTATGTTATAAAAGGCTTTAAAGGATTCATTTCGATTAAAAATGAGAATGCCAAAGAATTTAATATATTGGTAATGGAAAAATAATTTCTCATAATTAAAAGTATTCCCAAAATATGGCCAGCCTTATTCTTAATTATTTGATTTGCTCTTTTTCAAAGATGAAAAAATTTTGAGAAATGATAATGGCAAATATTTTTAGACTAAAAAAATATAAAATCTTAACATACGCATGAATATAATCATAATGTTGAATATTCACTCCATTTCAAGTAATATTTAAATATGACAATCATTGGATTATTTCTGCCTCCTCATCTTATTGATCACATATTTGAAAAATTAATTTAGTACTACTTTAAATTTCCTAATGGCATTAATTTTCATTTAAATTCTTCTTTTTCTCATTTTGTATATATACTCTCTTTTTATTTGGACACTTTTTGTATTGAAGTAAAAATAATTTGATAAATTAGATTCTTTATCTTTTCTAATATTATAATTAAAAGTGATAAAATAGAATAGTTGAATTTTCGAATCGAATTTATTAGAATTGACATATAATCAAGTTTTACCATCAAATTCCGTTCCATTGAAAGCACATAATCTATGAATGATTTGATTTTGACTTATCTACCAATTCCAAGATCAGCTCTCATATTTGGAAAATTAATACTTCGACCAGAAAATTTAATTCTTCTTAGTATATATTTAATATCGATAATTTACACGCCATCTTAAACTTTGCACTTATACAAAGTGTATACAATCCATTTGGATATGAAGGTAAAGATGCTCCATAGCTAACTATGCCTAATAAATTTTTTGCTTTTTTCTATAGAACCTAGGGATTTACAAAAAAAAATATAACCCCTGCTAAATCAATAGTTAATTTTAGAACTGTATTATTTTATGTTTCAGTCATTTTAATTGATTAATCAAATGGTAAATCTCAAAAATTGGTATCATAGGTGAGAAATATTTTTGAATATTAATAAATTTAAAAAATATGGCGTGTTTAATTGTTTTAATACAAAAACTCTAATGAAAGCTAGTACAAATTTTGTAGAAGATTTCCAACAAATTTTAAGAGATTGGTTAAATCAATACCAATATTCCCAAGGTTTAACCAAGATTCTTGAGATAATAACTTTCATAAAAACTTACTTTGAAAACAGAATTATTGGTTAAAATATTCAAGTAAAAGGGAAACTAGAGTAGATTAAAAATTTATAATTAAGATTTTTCTGGACTTTACCATACTATTATGCACACAATATTCACATGCATTAATAATAGCAGAAATACTTGCTTTAGGCTTTGAAGCTTTTCAAACAATTGGATTCTAAAAATTTAATAATTAAAAAATCTCTTAGGCATTTCATGGGAAGCTATTAATGATTACAGTAAGGCATATAATAGAATTCTAAGTAAAAGACAGCAATTTTAAAAATAGGTAAAAAGTAGTAAAATTCTATTTGAGTTTTTAGCGGTATTTCAAGAATTGAGTATTGTGATTAATTGCATATAATGATGTATATATAAGTCTACTTTGAAAGAGTTAAGGAATGAGATATTTGTTATTTCTTTTATTGATGTCAACTAAGCATTATAATTAGATGGAAATATTACTAATGCTTAATAACCATAGAGCTATGATCTTAGAAATTCAGTTGAAAAGATTTGGAAGTTTGTAGATACCTTATTAGAATTCAATTAAGCCATCTACCTAGATTTTAATCCTTCAAATACTTATTATGAATAAGGTATAAAATAACTAATATTTATAGCATTAATATGTTTAATAAAAAATAAATTAGTAGAGTATAATCTAACCTTAATCAAGTAATTAAGCTCAATATCGTTCTAATTGGTTATATCTTAAGCATATTATATTCCTTATATGGAAAATAAATAAAGCAGAGGATAGCTTTTAAATTAAACTAAAATCTGAATTATGCATACCTTCAAAGAGTTGAGATTACTTATCATTAGAATATATATTTAAATTAATTGGAGAAAATAAGTCTGCAGAATTAGATTTCAAAAAGGTGTTTGGTTAAGCTGGTTTGTTTCTTCTTTAAAATTACAATTGGGCACTTACATGAATTAAATAGAAATTAACCCGAAGCTTTTGTAATCCTTCTCACTACCTCATATCATTTATTTTATTACTAAAGTATATACTTAAAAGTTTAATAATTAAAATAAACTTATGTAAAAGCTCTTTAAAAATGTGATATCTTTTCACCTTTAAGTAATGAAATTTACACTTATTAATTCCTCCTTTGATGATTTAAGAAATATAATGATTGGTCATATAAAGGATAAGATTATATATCATAAATATTTATCAACATACTGAAAATAATTAAAGGAAAACTAAAAATATTGTAAAGTTTCCTTAAAAATCTTTCAGAAATTTCAATTAATTATTACAAAATTATCATTGTGCAAAAATTCATTAATGTCAATCCTCCTATAATCAGAGAATAAAGTATCATTCGAGTTTCTGAATTGATGTGACTAGCCAAAATAACCTAAAGAAAATAAAAATTAAAAAAAAAATATAACTGGCTGAATAGTTCCTTTCATTATTAGATTTTTATTCAAAAAAATAATAATAAATATGATTAAAAATCAAATATTAATAAGAAAGGATTATTCTGAAAATCTTATTCTATTAATCGTATGTTTATTTGATATATTTGAAATATTTCCAAATTTTCTATTTTATAGTTTGATTGAAATTAAAGAATGAAAATAATTTTTTTGTCATTATTAGGTTATTATCTTAAATTCATGATATCAAAAAATATTTTAAAGGATGGAACAACTGTATCAAATATTAAAACATCAGTTATTAATTTATTTGATGAAACTGTTTTTTAGTTTGTATTTATTGGTGGTTAAAATTTAGTTATAGATTATATCATTCCTAGATTTAATAATAATAATAATAATAATATTCAAATAAATATTTAATAGAATAATAAAAAAATTTTGTTAAAATTTATGATTATCCTTACTACTTTTAAATGGTTCAATAGATCAAAAAAAATGATATTATTAATGTGCCAAGAATATCGTTAAATTCAGTTATTAATCTAATAGATTTTTCACATGAAAAAAACATGAACCTGTATTTGGATCCCATCTATGAGACTAAGCTGTCTTTATGTAACAATATCCTGATTTAAGAGTATTAATATCCATTAAAACACATTATTATTTATGATAGTGACATAGATGAATTTTCTTATTATCCCAAGTTTTAGTATTCTTACAACTTCCTATTTAAGTAGAATAAGTTTAATATGTATGTGTTTAACATAAAAATTTATCTTAATTCTAATGACATTTATCTTTAACTAATTCACATGCATTTTAATCATTTTTTTTCCGGATTCACAACTCTCCATTAGTAGACATTATTTTACAAATTCCATATAATCTTTCAGATTAAAAGTATAATTAATATTTTTATCTGAATATTTAGCCTTTTTTTTTGATAAATTTATACCATTTGAAATGTAATTTTCTATTTATTTACATGAGGAATATATATATCAATTATGTACATTTTCACAATTCCTTTTTCTGTATAATTCAAATCATTTTACTAATCTAATTTCCGAAAATCACTTACCAGCAAGCTCTTCTGTATTTTCACAAATATCCTATGAAAAATATTATGAATATAAAAATAAGATTAATAATAAAAAATAACACCGATTTTATGATTGAACTGATTATCTTTTTGATACATTTGTAGAAAATTTATTGTATTCAAATAATGTTATAAAAAATGAAGTTTTAAATATTAACTTAATTATCCTGGAGAAAATTTATAATATTTTAGATTTGATCATAAAAATGAATAAAATTAATATTAAATGATATGTTCTATAATAATTTCAAAGTTCTATTTCTGTATTGATATAACCAATATTTCTCATTCTATATTTTACTAAAATATAAAAGCCTATTAATTATAAAATGATTATGATAATTAATGAATAAATCCATCTTCTTGAATTATAATTTAAATCAGGAAGTATAAAATTTATGTCATAAGCTCCATCTGAAAAATCATTCTTGCAAATAATATTCACATGTTTTGTCTTTCTATCTTATCTATAATGACATTTTAAAGTTCTAGTAGATATTGGATAATATAAAACTGATCCATTATTTAATGCAAGGCATGTAGCGTTTCGATCCTCTATATTTGTAATTAAAGCATATCCAGGAGATATAGGGTTTAATTATCCTAACATCAAAATAGGCATTTCCAAATTGTTAATAAGTAAATCAGCAATGTAGTAAACTCTTATATTATAAGTATTTTCGTATTCAAATTGTTGAAGTAGAAAGCCATTAGAATATACAGTATTTGGAATTTTCCACAAATCATCTCCTCCATAATTGATGATGGCTATTAAATTTAATAAATGTAATTAGTTTTAAGACAACTTAAATACTAATAATGATCCAATATCATCAGTACTCAAAATGATGTATATTTATTAGTATATTACTTGCAATATCAAAATTTAAGTAAAATAATAAGGATAAATATATAAACCTTAAGTACCACTTAAAGTAATTGAATTTTTATTGAAATTGATAAATTGATAAACTACATCCTCCATCTCCATGATGTATATAACAAGAACTAAATTTGACTAATTCATATCTAAACTAGAATTATATAAAGATACTGAAAAATCTTCACATCTATATTAACTAAGTAACTGCATGGTGTGGTTTAATTGATTCAATAAATAGACTTAAATTAATTAATAAATACCATACAAACCTCTGTTATATGTATTGTTAGAGCCTAAAATAAAATTAAGAGTGGCTATATTACTAATTTTCGTTATATAAGTAAATTTATAAGGTATTTACAATAAGCATGTATTTATAACACTTCCATTAGAGTCAAAATAAATGCTTAGCCAATATTATGCAGTATCGTTTTGACATATTGAAGATAAACTTAAATTATAAGATGTTGATTTCAAGCATTCAATAAAATTTAAATTAGAATAATCGTAAGATTAAAGAAATTCAAAATACTAATTAACAATTCTTATTACACTATTGTTTTACAGAATAAAAAATTTGTTATTTACTGCAGTTACTTATGTGTAATTAAGATCAATATTTTTTGTAAAGTAACCAAAATTAGTTAAATTGCATTCATCATTTGTAAAGTATTGTTAATCAGATTAATCAACATTATCAACTTTTTGAACTTTATCAACATCAGAACTTTTAGGAAAATAACAAAGACTTGCTTGCCTATCAAGGATTATA